AATGTCTTTTTAACCAGGCTTCGCTTCCCGGCGCATCTTGTGACTTCCCACCTAAATTTTTCTCTTGGCTAAATGTTTCTTGCATGTGCCCATTTGTTGCGCGTATATATATCGTGCGTCTGTATTTATGAGGTGTGTTGTGTGCGTCTGCTGTGTATATGTATCTGTGTATGTGCGTCTGTTGTTTGTTGTATGTCTTCCGCTTGCCGTTTAAGAACGCTCAGCTCCCAAAACAGCTTAGACAATCTTTTGTGGGATGGCACATGCGAGGAATTCCGTATCGTTCCGAGCTTTAAAAAAATAGAAGGCGCAACGGGCAGGTGTCCAAATCAGCACTTCCTACTTATTGAGCTTTTCCGGCATCTGAGCGCTAAAGCTAGCATTTCCAGATCAACTTCTTGCGTATTTTAGTGCGAATTAACAAGTCCCAGCTATTTTTGCCACCGTTCCCTCACGTTTGACTTCCGAAACCGGCTTGCTGCTTTGCCTTATTTCATCCTCATAGTCAGCTTAGCGCCGTAAGTGCAAGGCCGTTCTGGGTACAACAGCGGGCTTGTTACCAAGGTCTGAAAACAGGATCGTATTGGTCACGCCGACCAGCTGGGCTGCTGTCCAGAAAATCCGATGCATTCGGTTTTTACTGCGAGCTGTAGATCAACTCTTTATATCACTGGATGTTTTATATCCGGCAGTGCCTGCCGTAGCATGCTGTCCTTTGTCCTGTAGCACCTGCAGCCCATGAATTTTTGGATGGTCCAATACTGTCTTTTGTCGCACGTCCGGCTCACTGCTGCTAGGTCCGCTATCTCATTATTGGCGTGGAACAGATAGTGTGTTCCTACTTCATGCTTTTTCATTCTGCAGTTGTTTGATAGTGTTTTTGAGCGCGCATTTGTAGTTGACGGCGTCTGATGGGAAGTTTTTCGGCCTTAAATTAGAGATGACGATGAAGAAAACAAGGGGACGAAGCGACTAGGAAAGAAAAGTGGAGGAGCTGGCGCCCAATAATGCTGCATTTCGATTGTAGGCCGCAAGTTACGTCACAGCGCCTAGCAGTAGCAATATGGCCGCATATAAATTAGTTTAATTTTCTAGTTAATATAGATATTCTGTCGGCAAATTCTAAGCTGAAGGACAGGGCAAGGGCAGAGGTCACTGGAAATGCTGGGCAACACAAAGATTTTTTAAACTAACTTTATTCGTATGCAGTTTTATCGTTGCTTCTGTGGCGCAACGTGTGGACGCTACTGAACTGCATTATCATTAAGGCCGACTATCTGCTTTAGGCTCAGGAGGACGGGTTTGGCCCAAGAATGGTTTCAAATAGTTTCGCTCGATTCCGGCCAAGTGAGTGAGTGAGTGATGGCGAAAGGAGGCAATAAATGTGAGAAGTGTCAGTGTGTTTGAATTCATCGTTTGTAACTCGAATCGCATTTTCCACATTTCTTTATTTCACGGAGTGCGGGCAGTCGGGGATTAGCCGAGCTTTCTCTTCTCTCCATCGCCTCCCCCGTTCTCCCTCCCCATAATCCACATCATTTTCCGCCTGGCCAAGCTGTTCTCGATCCTTCCACCCCTTTTGCTTACTCCATCACATTTCCAAACAGCACTCTCCCGTGAGTATTCCATTCATCCCCTCCCCCAGATCTTTTATCCTTCAGATTTCATGACTGCATGCTGTTGGCTGTAGCTGGTTGCTTGGGCTTTTTGCTGAATTTCTTTTTTTTTTTTTTTTTGCTACAAATGCTTCCCTCGCATTTTCTCTTCAGAGGAGGCAAAGGATTCCAGAGCAGAAGTTCTTAAAACTGCATAACTTCTTGTCTTTACTTCAGTTAAAATTGTTAGAAAAACACATGTAAATTTACCATGCCTTGCTGCATTTTTATTGAGGCGATTATCTGCTTATCTATGGCTGTTTTTTTTTTTTTTTTTCTGGAGCAGATACAAATGAGCTTACAGTACTAAATAATTGAGGTCATTCAACTAATAAATTTGGTTCTCGTCTTCGTCTAATTTCAGTCTCTAAGACGAATCTTTATCCTGCAACACATGAATATCAACTTGAGTATGGGGCAGTGCATTTGGAAAGGAGCAGAGTGTATTCCCTTTACGAAGTTACGAGACGTCTTTTTGTCACTGTCGCAGCATCAGTTGTGATAACAACACTTTCAGCGCCAGTGTGTTATCAGTTCTTTTATGTAAAAATGAAAGAAGGAATGCTACATTTTCAGAGGAGAAAAGTTGTCATACCCAACCAGTCATAGGGCGTACCCACGGGTAACACATACGGTCCCGTAAAAGTTTTTCGAGTAAAATCAGTATCTCGGGAACCACGGAAGGTAGAAGGCTGAATTTTTGTGAGCATGTCTTCTGCCCATGTGCTACCTAGAAAATTTAAATTCAGCTTTCCCTGCCCGCGGGTAACAAGTACGGCCGCGTGAAAATTTTTGACGGGTAAATTATTATCTCGGGAACCGCGGAGTCTAGGAAGCTGAAATTTTATGGTAATGACCCCCTGCCCACGCTCAACCTTGCCTATTCAAATTCAGCGTTCCCACGCTCTCGGGTATCACCTACGGGCTAGTGTAAGTTTTTGCGGGTAAATTATCTCGGGAACCACAAAGTCTACGAAGCTGAAATTGTGGGGTTGCGACTCCTTGCCCACGAACGATCTTGCAAATACATATTCAGCGTTCTCGCGTTCCCGAGTATCACCTACGACCTCGCGAAAATTTTGGCGGGTAAACTATTAACTTGAGAATCACGGAAAGATATTCATTTTTCAAGATTTCGAATTCAACTTTCATGCGCAGGTGCGTGAAATTTCTAACTATTTTTCAACGTTTCAATTATTTTTGCATAGACTAAAATACAAAGCAGTGAAAATCATTAATAGGCAATGGTTCGGTGGGCTGAATTGCACAAAACACATGACCGCACCGGCTAGTCTGGTGCGCGTTGCTGTTTATTTTCACATGTTTACTGAAAGCGCTTGTTTCGCTCACAATATTTTTATCAAAGATATTGCCTCTTCATCTGCTGCTTAGTCATTTTGCGTTTTATCGTGTCGCTGTTTTCGCATTCCATGCTTAGCAATATGACCCTTTCTGTACTATCCAAACTTAGAATGCTCAGTACTTGGAGGTGCTTGAAGTTGCCAGGATTTGTACCTCGCCGTGCTCTAACACTGCCTAGTCCGTTGCCAGTCCCTCATCACGGTGGTCGAAATTTGTGAGAAAAACAATATCACTATACAGTCCCTTCAAATTAACAATGTCAGTATAACTTCATTGCAGTGATGCAGTGAAGTTATACAGTGGAGTGGAGTTATATTGACATTGTTAATTTGAAGGGATTGTATGGTGAACCAAGGCAGCGAGTGCGATCATGCGTTTTGTGCAACTCCGTCCACCGAACGATTGCTTGCTAATAATTTTCACTGCTTTGCACTTTGATCTGTGCAAAAATAATTGAAATGTTGCCTTATTCCTAACTTGCGAAATCCCCACTAAAGATTTCGCGCACCGGTACGTGAAAACTGGATTTGGAGTCTTGAAGGGTGATTATTCCTCCAAAATTTCAGCCTCATGATTTTCTGGCTTTCGAGTGGTTTTTGCGACAATACTTTCACGTGGTCATACGTGAGATCTTGGCATAGAAACTGAATTAGGGTTTGTGAAGCTCCAATTACGCTGAAAAAATCCTTCTGAAATTTTCAGCCTCCTAGTCCTTCTAACTCCCGAGACAATGATTTTTCCCGTCAAAACTTCCACAAGAACTTTGAAAATTTTGCGGAGTCGTATGTAGGCAGAGGGTGGCACGCTAAAATTTCAGTTTCCTAGCCTTCGTGGTCTCCGAGATGATAATTTTTCCCTCCAAAATTTTCAGGAATCGTACTTGATAACCAGACATAGGGAGAGACTGAGTTCAAACTTGCGGGGTTGTACTTGGGCAGGGGGGCATTAACTCAGAATTTCAGCTTCCTAGATCCCGTGGTTCCCAAGATAATAATTCCCCTGCCAAAAGTTTCAGGGGGCCGTACGTGTCACTCGCGGGCACGGGAGGGTTGAATTTAAATTTTTGGGGTCACACGTGGGCCAGGAACATACCCCTAGATTTTCAGCTTCCTAGCTTTTGTGGTTCTCGAGTTGAAACTTGCGGACGAAATGCATCGAAAACACACACATACACATAGATAACTCCGTGAAAATATGCGTTTTGAGTAGCTGTTGTACAGCACAAAACGCAAAAAAAGAGGTGGGAGAGATCAAGACATGAACTTTATAATTTTGATCTCTCTGAATGTATTTGTGGTCTTCTTTGTTTTTTAAATTCTTTTTTTTTCTGATATTCCCCCAGCCCTAAACTTTCTTGGCTCTCGAGTTGTAACATTAGTCAGTGTTTGAATCTGACCCAAGAAGGCACAAAGTGGTGAGAGAGGTGAAGAAAAGTTAATTTTAGGTTTGTGACTATATATTGTCAATTATTTTGTAATGGATTTTCTAGCTTTCGAAGTTAGTCATCTGATCACACATGCACATAGAGATCATGTGGCATTACTTTTTGATTATAAAGAGAGTGCATAAAGTCAAGGAAGGTCGAATGATTAGTGGGCATTCACTTGAACCATCATTGAGCACCGAGTTGAGGTAGGAAATCAGAGTGATTTTTGCCGAAAGCGATTATATTTCAACTTCTGAGAGTTTCTTTTTTGCGCAACTGCAAAAAAAGCTGTCATTTTAGCTGGACGGCCACCCATTCTTCCGTCAGAGTGAGAAAAATTATATCGTAGGTACAGAAGTCACCAGGAGAAAAAACAAAAGATGAAATAGTTGGGGCAAGATTTAACCAGACAGCGCAGCTGGATAGTCTTCAATGCTTCGTTCAAAAGTGCAAGATTCAGCCTCGAAATGCCTAGCCTGCGTTAAAACATTGAAAATACTAGTCAATATTTTAGAGCTTGCACTAATCCGCATTTCAGAAACGTGGTGCATCGTGGAATGGATCGAATACGTCGATCGTTTCGGCAGTCTTTCCGGCGTCGAGTACCCGGACAGTATTTTGGCGGTGGTGGTGGTGGAAGCCCGACCGGAGGCGAAGCGCCGAATGGCTCAACAAGCAGTTCAAATGGCAGTAAAGCTGGACTGTGGCAGCCAGACGAAGCTGCCGTCTTGAATGGCACTTGTAGTTTCAGTGTTCGGGTATGATCTTCTTTTTATTATTATTACGGCTTACGTTTGTTTTAATCGTGAAAACAGCGATTTAGTGGCGGAATGCATCGCTCTTTATGCTTTTAGCGTGGTGATCAGTCCGATCCAAATTTTCCTGGGGATGTCCCGTAGGCTGAGTATTATTTGTGGTCAGGCGTATTCTGAGACAAAGGGCTTTAGAACAACTGATTGTTCCGATATTTTTTTTTTTTGTCATATTTTAGTTAGTTACCGCTATTTTGTGGTTGTGAACTACGTCACCTGAAATTGTATGGCAAAAAGCGATTTTCGAAATAACATTTGTGCGAGGCATATCCAGACTCCATTGAAATGAAAAGCCCTCACCAGTCTAGCACATTTTTAACCGAATTTCTGCCTATTCCTTATTTACTTTTCAGTCTTTCGCTTTTTCACACAACTTAGCTCTTGCTCCAGCCAGCTTTTGTGGTCATTTTGCAAGCGCCTGATAATGTTGCTGTTTTGGTTTGCGTTGGGCACAAATGTAGTTATGAAAATCATAAAAAAAATTGTTAGAGTTTGAACATCCGTTTACGCGTGTGTTGTTCTTTGGGCCAGTTTAATTTCCCCAAAAAAAGGATTACAGAATTACTGCACGTTATCCGTAAAGCGTTAGTTTTGTGCTGAAATTTGAGATGCATTCTATAAATTGTGCATTCTGACAAGTTGTTTGGTTCCTCCCTATTAGCACTGACTGTGCAGTCGAGGTTACTTGTTTCCAGTGGCAGTTGGAATTGGTTAGCCCCAGTTAGAAAGGTCCTGACATGTCTTTTTGAACAATTCCGGTTGCATTCCGGTAGGGTCGAAGGCTGAGCACTCTTAGATAACGCTGCCTTGGTGGTATTTTACTTGATATCAAGAAGTTTCAAGCAAGGTTTGATGTGCTGCAAGTACCACAGTCTGTATACGAATTGTATCTTGACCTTTGGGCAGGCGCTTCGTACGATAATCATGCTTGACCGGAAGAGTTTTTGGCCGAAAAATCTGAATTGTGTACAGATGCAATGTAAAATTAGTGATTAGATAATCTGCTCCGCTGTCTTTGAAGTGTATGAAACAGTATTTTGGGGGATTGTTGTTCACCGACACTGATAAAAATTGGAACTCGAACCAATCAGTGGTTTCAGTAGCATTAATGTGATGGTTTTTACATGCACAAAGAAGAATGCTGCGAAATTTTGACTCATACGAATAAGTAATCGGTGAGGTATTTCACCGTGGCCTGGAACTGGCAGCATTCAAGATGAGGTGACCATGCTTAACACGCAGAGACTATCTTCCTCGTTATTCGGCTAAAGCTCTACCAGCCGCCTCCGTTACAAGAACTATTGAGCCGATAATCCTGTAAGAAGGCGAGACGAGCGATGGAATCGCCAACAAACTGATCAGCTGGTGATATAACACTGATCTAAGTAATTGGAAAAGTTACCAATTGCGTAGTCGGAGAATATCGCTACGAATTGTGGCAGAACAAAATTTTGAAGTATGCACAAATTATTCTGAAATTCGAATTTATTGCAGTACTTGGGTGGTATCGAAGTATTCGAGTCACGCGGTATGCAAATTTGTGAAGGAGCACTGAAATTACTTCGAGTAAGTTTATTTATTTTTTGAGTTTTTCCATCCTCTCCTTACGATATATATATGTACATATATGTATATGTATATATATATATATATATATACATATATATATACATGTATATATGTACACATATTATACATATATTTATATATATATGAAAGCGATTACATCTTAGTTGCTGCTTGATGCGTTCTCAGGGATATCCACTTAATGCATTCTTTAAATACGGAAAATGACTGTCGAGTGCTGTGAAGCAAGAGTACCTTTTATTCTGGTTGTAAATATGAATGTTGCATGTAACTAATTATCGTACCACGCCTCAAAAATCACTTGAGGGAAGATGGAGCGGCAAATCAGGCAATCCTAGGCTAGAACGCACCAGGCTTGCCGGTGCGGTCGTGCGTTTTTGCGCTAGGCTTGAAGCAGTCAAATCGTTGACTATATGAATAGTCATTGTTTTACACTTGTCTTGTGTGCTCACTAGCGTAAATCATAAATTTTGCATGAAAGAAAATGAAGTTTTTTGTTTAACTACTGTTGTTTGAAGGTGACTAAACTGTTCAGTGAGCGATTTTCCTACCAGAACTTTTAAGTGCCTGTATGTGAGAACCATGCATACGTTGGAAATAAATTTCAAATTTTTAAGTTGTACTTGGTCAGGGAACATTTAGTTAAAATTTCGGCTTTCCAGCTTTTCTGGTTCCCGAGTTTATTTTTCCGTCAAAACTTTCACATGCGCACACGCGGGGCTAAGACTTGCGAGTGCATTGGTACCCGGTCCTACCCGCTGGCAAAATTTTAACGCCGAAACTTGCTTAGTTGACAAGCAGAAATACCCGGACAGACGCACTCACGCGCGCGCACATATATATATGTACGTATATATATATATATATATATATATACGTACATATGTACATATATATATATATATACGTACATATATATGTACCCACTGTA